CACGAGGGGATCTTTGGACCAGACCACGCGAACGCCCTAACAAGTATGGGCAACTTGGCTAGCGTACTGTGGTTCCAGGGAAAGTACGATGAATCGGAGGCAGTGAATCGGCGTGCACTGGGGGGGTATGAGAGGAATCTTGGGCCAGACTACCCAGACACCCTAATAAGCGCTAGCAACCTGGCTACTGTGCTTCAAAGCCAAGGAAAGTATGACGAATCAGAGACGATGTACCGGCGTGTACTTGAGGCGCGCAGGAGGATTCTTGGGCCTGACCATCCCGGAACCCAACTAAGTGCCAGAAGCCTGGCTGCGGTGCTACGGCTCCAAGGTTATGGTACCGATTGAGCGATGGTTGAGCGGCGTGCGAGGCAGACACTCCCAGGAAACCCGGTGGATGCGCAGGCACAATTTGCTCGTCGTGATGTCGGTCAATTGAGGTGGAGAGTTGTCTTCCGCAAGGGTGACAGCTCGACATGGTGACCCATCCTACTGGAAGAAATTCGGCTGTCTTGAAGATCGTTGGTGCTCACATGAATATTTTCGGGAGTCTTGTGGTCCGCGCACTTTATATGTTTTTGTCTTTACCAATATTTCTTTTGTGATTTGTCTATTTTATGTTGTCCGTAGGGTATGTGATAGTAGAAGGCAGCTGGCTGGAATTTCTCATAGGGTAATAGTCTTTCTCGGCTCTCTCATCTCTGCGGGCGGAGAGAACCAAGGCACCTATACCTACTCGGGACTTAGTCATTCGGCGTTTGGCGGCACTAGTGCTAGTTAAAAAGTGTTGAAATTTGGTCATATGCTATTGCAGGTAATTAGTTTTCCTTTTCCTTTCCCAATATAACTTTGTTACTGTTTTGGGGATAGAATGGATGTATTATTATTTTCCAACCCGTTTTAAATCTTTGTTTTTATATGTGGGGGAGATTTCCCGGCCCTTAGTTTACAGTTCTCTATACCGGTAGAAGCTTGGAATACAAGTTTGAAACGGCTGATATTGCTGCCTCCATATCATGTCGCTACTGCGCCAGTGACTCGAAAGATGTATTTCTTCAACAAGGTGTTCAATCCAATGTTATTACCCGAGCATCGCTGACCGGGGCATATAGCTAGAAAGGAGCCAGACCGATAGCCGGAAGAAAAGGAGTCAGGGAGAAACTTTGTCTCCATGAGGAGTGAGGGGGATATTTTTCAATACAAGCCACCACTGTGTCCGATAGATGGATAGCAAAGAAAAAAAAAGGTACTGTACCAGAGCGTCATAGGACAAAAAAAAGCCTTTATTATCTTCCCTTTAGACAGTTCTCATCCTACTCCTATTGGCTACCCATGGGAACAGCCCGGATTAGAAGTGACGGTGATGGTTTCAACGGACCGGAGAGACCATAGAAATTTTCGTGGGTAACAACCGCAGAGCGTGAAGGACTACGGTAAATGACAAACGGGAGCGAGACCGTGCATGAATGGCCAGCTGTTGAATGAAGTGTAGCACGGGGGAAAGTGTTGGGTATTTTTCTTTTCATTTGGTATATCAATTTCTATCGTTCCTTTTCTCTTTCGACGATAGGAAAAACTGTGTTAAGCTTTCTCACTAGATAAGCTCCTTGCGCTCAACTTCTTCACTCCTGAAATCATGAGAAGTCACTCGTTTAATTTTATTTCAACCTTGTTGGAAGATGTGGCTTCTCAGGATTCGGTTACTAGATGGTTACCGCATCGGATTTGTTTGGTATAGGGATCCCGAGCTGGAGGGTCCGAGTAGGTCCTATTGGGAAACTGGCTTGGATGATACAGGACACGCTGTTCAAAGTGACTGCTAAACTCATGTAGTATATTAGTACTCCCTTCTCGCAGGAGATGGGAAAGAAGACAAGTCTTTTCTCGACTCTTGAACGCAGTGATATTACAACAAACCTGTTGTAATTCTTTGGCAGGTGCAGGGAAACTTGAGGAACCGAACTACTCTTCGATTTATACAGAATACAAGACTTATATACTATCCAAACTTAGCAGTCACTGTAGATGATCTGTCCAATACCAAGATCATATCCCCATCTAAGCTTCGTAGCGTAGATACTATTTCGGCTCTCGCTTAACATATCCTCCCCTGAGGACTACAAGGATCTTGAGAAGCAACTATTTCCGACACAACCCGGGATCATATGATAAATGCCAAAATACAATCAGAGTTACCCACCTACCCCCCCCACCCCCACTCCCTGTCTCCTAGGCCCTGTGCGACCTTACATTCTGAGACGCCAAATGGAGGTTTAGTACCCCATCAGGTGTCACCAAGCTGGCTATTCTCGTGTGACACTAGGCATAGTAGGGAGGGTTAGACATAATAGGCCGTTCGTTGTCTAGTGTATTGCCAAACGTCGGCGCTGACTTGTCTATTACAACACACAGATTTAACTCATTACTTGTGATGTTTGTAGTCGTTCCCTTCATTTCTCTCGTTTACGATATCGGATATACAGACTCCATTTACTAGTAAATGTGCGCTAACCCTAGCTCAATATCTCTTCAAGAGGAATATGGAAGGGAGGTCTGAAGTCCTAGGAAGTGAGAGGTAGTTCGATGGAGAAAAGGACTATTGGGAAGACGGGAGAAGTAGCGAGGAGAATAGAAGAGAGAAGAAAAATGAAATGAAGAATGATAAAAGTGAAGAGAAGAGAACGGACAGATGAGAAGATGAGAAACGAAGCAATGCCAGAGCAGTGTTTGCAGGCGGCCAGAGCGGGCTATAGACATCGGACAGAAACACAGTTTGCTCAGGCGAGGTCAAAGGGAGATTTACCTGGGCTTTCGTAAGCCCGGCATTGTGGATGCTACATATGGCGATTTCGGGCTGGGTAGGAGCCCAGGGGAGGAGACAGAGAGGAAAGCTTTGCTCGCCGCACCTGAAAGGGAAAAGAAAGCAGGCATCCACACGGACGGAGAAGCATAATAACAGCACGGTCCTTTGGCTGCTCTTAAATCACAATTCCTCCACTCCCAAATAGCATGGTCTTTCCTCCCTCTGCTCCTTTCACCGTAGTCTTTGTAGTTGTCGCAAGATTGGCTAGACTCCTGTTTCACGTTCGTAGCTCGTAGTTTGATGCTTGTTCGTGTTCAAGGTTCGGTTCTCGGTGTTCCTGTGAAGAAAGAACACGGGAGAAAAGGTCCCTTATTGACACTTCCATCCCACCTCCCCACAGAAAGGCCTTTCGCCTCCAGAAACTTCCAGTAACGTCAAGAAACCTTAAGAAAGCAATCAGGTATAGGATTCACAAATATGGGTATTGTAAAGCAACCCGAGCCAACCTTCCACCTCCGGAGTGCCTAGGGGCATTAGCAGGCAATCGCTATGTGTTGTGCGGTTAGCGAATATCTTGTCAATGCAGTGCAGATACCCAGAGATGCCTGAAAATACTTGTAGATACCTACAGATATCCGAGTTAACCCCCGGATATCGGTGGAAATCTTGAGACTCTTGCAAATATCTTTGGGTTCCTGCAGATGTCTGCAAGTACCCATTGGTGTCCGCATATATTCACATATATCGGCCGTTGTGATGCCCATACCCGGGACATGCGGGGAAGTGGACGGGACGGAACATTACGGCAAGTTCGAAGCATTGAGAGGAGTTCCCGATCGTGGGAAATTTTCGTATTGCACAGTATATTCCCGGAAATGTATTACTTGGACGTTATCAATTATCATTATTTGATTCCCTAACTTTTTTCTTTCTACCACGTTAGTATCATCACGAATCACGAATTCACAGCACATTCCCTCCTCACATCATCCCTACCATGTGGTTTCCTCAAGCGCACCTTGTCCTAGTAATTCCACATCGAAAAAAACCATTTTTCCCTCCCCC